TTTCCTGTAAATGTGTGTGTTAGTGGCAAGATAAATGTTCATAAAGTTTTAAATATGGATGTTTTTGTTACAAAATTCACTTAGCTTCAGTTACTGTAGAAGACATTCAATTACCCAATGGAGTCATATCGGTTGCTTGTATTATAAATGGATGCAGTTTTTGTAGATTAAAATAAAAATCAACCAACATGCTCTCACCTTTACAAAGCTAGAAAGAGCCAGAATGTTTGTGTGTACGTTTGAAAAAGTAAGGAAGAAAAATGCATGCCATAGAAAAACATCAGGTTAAATAATATTGGTTTTAAACAGACTTTTACCTTAAACAACTAAATGTGTGTTTTTATAACATTATTAGGGAACTGAACAACTAAAGCTCAAACCAAGCAAATTTAATTCAGAAGAAAACTTACTATTATCTATTATTCTACGGTGGAGATACAGGTGCTTACATTAAAGTCACTTGAAACTTTTTAGATTTTCAGCATATTTTTTCAATTGAAGCATAGGTCTCAAACTGGATTTGTGGTGGGCTGCAGCTCTGCAGTTTTGTTTTGACCCTAATAAAACACAGCTGATGCAACTAATCAAGGTGTTCAAAACTACTTGAGACTACTAAGCAGGTGTGAGTTGGTGGTTGTAGGTGCTAAACTATGCAGAGCTGTGGCCCTTCAGAAATTGAGTTTGAGACCACTGAATCAAAGTGTTTGGGTTTTCCCACAAATATTTTGAGCCACAACAAATGTAAAGGCTAAAACCACATTTTTATATTGTTTGAATAGATAGATGGGGGGGCGGATTTTTTCAAAGAACTTGCATTGCATTATGGGATTGTCTTCCACATAGGACTATAATGTATTACAATAAGCTTGGTGAAAAAAGAATCTATCAAGACAACTGATGAAGACTATTGTAAATATACTTTAAAAATCTGTAAACATACAGCACAGTGTACTGCAATAATATGAAGAATTTTTTCTTGATTTTAATATAAACATTTTCCCTTAATTTTCCTTCATTTAATGTTTTTTAAGATGTGTTACACTTTTATTTTAAATTGTGTGCTGTATTGCATTGTTTAATATAGTTAACATAAAATGTTAATTATTTAAAAGTCAATAATTCATTCATTCATTTTCTTTTCGGCTTATCCAGCACATGTTTTTTTCGCAGCAGATGCCCTTCCAGCTGCAACCCATCTCTGGGAAACATCCATACACACTCATTCACTCTCATACACTACGGACAATTTAGCTTACCTCATTTACCTGTACAACGACATACGTATTTGGATTTATAAAGACATACGTCTTTGGACTGCAGGGGAAACCCACGCGAACGTGGGAAGAATATGCAAACTCCACACAGAAACGCTAACTGACCCAGCCAAGGCTCAAACCAGTGACCTTATTGCTGTGAAGCACTAGCACTAAATACTGCGCAACCGTGTCGCCCAAAGTAATAATATTAATATATTATATCCATAGAAAAAACTACCCATACTTTTAATGTATATGATTACATTTTAACTGCATAATTAAGATTAGCATGCTATTCCGAATTGGTGACACCTTACACTATTAACCACGTTTTTTGATGAGAACCAGCATCTTATTTCCTTGTAAGAAAGCACATAGGACAAACAAAATGAGAGGTTGTCAAGACTGTCGCGATTTTTCTCTTACAATATATCAACACAGACGTTTATGGCAATGATTATAATACTTTGGCTAATCATTTTTGAAGCCTAAATCGCCATCCTGGAGCCGAGGTTGTCAGATTGACACTTATTTATTTGGACCATGTCCAACAAAACACCGTCCCTGCTTTTATTTTTATTGATGTCGATCCGGAAGCGGCATACGGCTGCTGGCAGCCACCCTGAATTATGAGGGAGGTGATTACAGCCCCTCTCTCGCTCTCTCCATAGCCAAAGATCAGTGAGACAGAGAAAGACAGCTCTTGTAATCACTCTTAATAGTCTTGTTGTTTGTGTGAGTGTGCGTGGTAATGATGCTGGCACTTCAGCATGAGCTCACAGGGGACTCACTATTGTTTCATCGTCTCATTGCCTTTCCACAACAGGTGCCTTTTTCCTAGCCAGTTAATGCATTAAATAAAAACTATATTCTATTTTTAGCTTTCTGCCTTGTCTTTATCATTTCTTAATCCCGCCAGTGCATTGATCTAGAGTGGACCAATCATTGTAATGTACTTCAGCTTTCTCTGGGTTCCACGTTTACAGCCTCCATCTTATGATCCTCATAATGTTCTTCATGATAACTGAAAGTGCTGACTGCTAAATTAATGATGTGCACCATATCATTCTGTTGGCATCGACATCTTCTAATTTTATGTCCAGAAACAAGACTGAACATCTAACCTAAAGCACATATGAGAGATTGCCGCATAGTCAGTGGTGCGTTGATCTTAAGCCAGTTCGACATGCCAGACAAATCAAAACCCAAAGCGGGACACAGGAAATTCATACTCAATAGAGTTACAGTGATTCATTTTCCAAGAAAAATGATTCACCCTTTTATTTTTGGAGAGAAGCAGTGCTGATGTCTAAGGAAATCCATGTTTCCTCTGCCTGAACGCAATTATCTGTTTTCTTATGTGTGATTACATGTGACATTTTTCCTGCCCCTTTGACCTGATTCATCTCCTCCAGAAGAGTAATGAGAGTTTTAAATGAAGCTTCAGAAGGAGCTAGTTTGTGACGCAGTATATACACAACAGCTTACCTCACTTGCATAGAGATTCTTCTGGCATCTTGAGAACTTTTATTTATGTTCATTTGTAACTAACTTCATTAGGAAGTATGCCAAGTCTGTCTGCCTGCATTACACTCTATATAAATACTTGGCAAGCGTGTTTAACAGTCATTTTATATCAGCAAGCATCATTGATAGAATGTGTTTAAAAATTAGTTCTATGCATGGGATGATAATCGATTTCAAGGCTTACCACATTTTGGAAAAGTCAAGGTTTTAAAACTGCCAGAATCATATGTTATACTGTTCCTACAGTACATTTACAGTTTTTATTATCATTATTTTTGGAGGGACTATTTTATTTAGTTTTTAGAGCAACGGTATCTCCAGCAGAAAAGGACCCTCCACATCAAAAGCCACTGTTCCAATATATTTTACATGTTTCTTAAAATAAAATAGATTGTGTACAAAGGGGAGAAAAAAAGTTGTTTTACCCAGACAATTAAGAAGAATTTATATTAGAGCAGTAATCACAATATCATGCAACCGTGAAACCGTGATATTTTTACCCAGGGCTATCATACCATCACAATCATGTACCGGCCCATGCCTACTTAGTTCACAATAAAAAAACAATAAAACTGTCATAATTTGAGATTATGAAATGCTGTGATGGTGTCACGAGTTTCTTTTGTAGAACACAAAAGCAGATATTTTGCTGAATACTGACTTTCATGGTCATTTTTTGTGAGAAAAGCAGGTTTGATTTGGCATGACAAAGTGAGTATATTAATAGTATTTTTCAAATGCTTAATTTTAGCCAAATACCTGTATATTTCACCCAAAAATTACAAGTTACTTACTATTTACTCACCCTAAAATGATTTAAAACTTTAAGAGATTCTTTCTTTTGATGAACACACAAACCATTTTGAAAAATGTTACAAACCTGTTACTGACATCCATAATAGGAAAATGGTTACAGGTTTTCAGCATACCTTCGATTGTGTTCAGAAGAATAAGAAACTCAAACAGGTTTCTGACAAATGAATGATGAGTAAATCATGACAGAATTATTAATTTTGAATGAGCTAAAGGAATAGTTCCAAAAAATCCCATTTACCTCATCATTTAACCTCCCTCATGTGGTTTAAAACCTTAATGAGTTTTTTTAATCTGTTAAACACAAAAGCAGATTTTTTTTTTGCTGAATACCAACTTTCATGGTCATGTTTTGTGTTCAGCTGAGAAAAGAAGGTTTGGAATGACAATGTAAAATAATATTATTTTCCGAATGCTTAATCTATGCCAAATACTTGTATATTTCACCTAAAACGAACATTTTCTCACTATTTACTCACCCTCAAGTGGTTTTAAAACTTTTTGAGATTCTTTCTTATGTTAAACACACCAAAAAAAAAAAATATTTTGAAAATTTTAGAGACCTGAAACCGCTGACAACCACATAGGAAAAACAAATACTATGAAAGTCAAAGGTTACAAAGTTTCAGCATATCTTGTTTTATTCTGTTCAGAATAATAAGAAACTCAAACAGGTTTGTGACAAGTGATTGATGAGAGAATTTTCAGTTTTCCATAAACTAAAGGAATAATTACCCCAAAATCACAATTATCCCATCATTTACTCTCCTTTGTGTGGTTTTAAAGCTTTAGGTGTTTCATTTGTCTGTTGAAAGCAAAAGAAAATATTTAGGAGAATTTTGGTTGCTGGGACCCATCAACTCCCATTAGGGGAAAAAATACTATGAAAGTCAATTTATCCCAGCACCAAGCAACATTTTTCAAAACATCTTATTTTGTGTTCAACAGAATGTTTTGAACAAGTGAATGGGTGAGTAAATTATTTAATTCAGTGTGAAATATCCCTGTAACAAACTGCAGAGTAAAACAAATGGACATGTGCCAGATGACAAAGCATTTGTGGTTCTATGCAGATTCTTAATATCCAAGTAGTTTCATTAGTTTTTCATCACTCATCTAGTTTAAAATCCATACGGTAATTGTATATTCAGCACATTTAACCATGGCCATTCAGAGCCCACCTTCAATTGCTTTACAACCGGTCATCAATAACATGTCAAGAGCACCTCTGGCAATTTGTAATCATATTGATTCACACGCTATGATGTAGCACCCTTTGCATTATAACCACTGTTCGACTGCGATATGAGTTGGTGCATGTATTCCCACATACACATGAAAGCAATAATGCACTAAAATCGGCATGCAAAGTAAAAGACCTGATGCGCTCTGACAGACACTCACCTCTGCAAAGCAAGAACAGCATGAGCCCGGCTGGACTAAGACGCAGCATCTTCAGCTCCTCTAAAGTTGGTCGGGGCTCGAGAAGGGAACAGATCAGTGTTTTCCCACCGACAGGTCTACAAGACAACAAGTACAGCATTCATCTCTTTATAAGGTTAGATGTTTCTCCCTCCGATCATCTCAAAACGAGTCACTCCTGCGGTGCGATTTCTAAATGCTGTCATCTTGATTTAAATGTCTTCTGAAGTCTGGCAAACATCAAACATATTGAAGTGTCGTCGCTTTTAAAAATAAAAGTCACAGATTTGTAGTGCCACAAGTGTCTGTTGCTAAAAACAATCTGGTGGTCGTCGATCAGATGCTCCGTCTAAATAAACCCGAGTCTCAGTGGAAAGTTGAACATCGCTCGTGAGGCTCGACAACGCTTCATAGTGATGGGAAATCCACTGTAATTCCAGCAGTAAACGAATAAAGTTACTTTTTAAAAGACAATAATGGAAAATAAGCAACAAATATGAGCTTTTATATAAACAAGTGCTCGTTTAGAAACAGATTAAGCGACTCCGGGTTTCCACAGGTATTAGTACACTTTAAGAAATAAAACGGTAGTCCAGCGTTTCGCGTTTATCTGTTTTGATGTCGAAAAACAAAGTATAAACTTCAACAGTCTGAGGAAAGAATTAATGAAAAGCATTTGTTCAGTGAAAAAGCTCCTTTCTCTCATCCATGAAGTCCACTGTGAATATTCCTCGTGCTTTCTCTGCTCTTTGGGTTCCGCAGCGACAAGCACAGTGAGTCATGAAACTCTCTCTCTCTCTCTCTCTCTCTCTCTCTCTCTCTCTCTCTCTCTCTCTCTCTCTCTCTGCTGAACTCAAAGGGCGTCATGAGAATTTTAATTTTAACTTCAAAATACTTTAATTGCTGATTTGTATTATATAGCTGCAGTACTGTTTAATGTAAAATAGCCTACCACCTCAGTAGTGCTAATGAAAAAATTAATAGAGAATATGCAATTCAGCTAAAGTTAAATAATGAAATTTTAAAGACATGTGCACATATAGACATACATGCATTGTAAACAAGTATTCGTGCTGGTTAAACATGTGCACCTGTTGTGAATGGTTTTAACAGGAATCCAGAGTATAATCGATCAGTGGGCTACAAAACAGAACGGAAGAGCCTTGATGCTGAAGACTGAGTGAATTGTAAGAGTTTTTTTACAAATCATTCTACCATATTGTGGTGAGTTGTTATGGTTTCATTGTAATATGAGTGATGATTTAGGTTTTAAAGTAGTTATTGAGTGGTTTGATGATCATTGATTGTTTTCTGCATTTGCCTCAGTAAGCGCGACAGTGCCCTCTAGTGGTGAATGATGGCATGAAGTAATAACGTGTACTGCAAAACGTTAACTTTTTACAAGATTTACTGTGGTGGCTGGGGTGTAAATGTTTTCTCTTTTGTTTTGCATTTGTGCATGCTGTTCTGATATTGTGTTATGAATGTTTTTTTTTATTTGTTTTTATTGGTCACGATACAGATATGCACATTGCTGGTATTGATACTTAACATATACATACATGCACCTCAGCATTATAATGTTTTTTATTCAGTATCTGCAACTGTTGGACTGCAACTATCATGTCAATGTTCAGTACGAACTCTGAGAAATGTTTTTAGCACTTTGTTGAATGCAGTTCTGAATGCAAATGGCCGGCCAGCCTTGTACAAGTGATGTGTATTTCTTTCTTCATCATAACTGATTTTGAATTCTGTTGAATTCCTTAGACATGCGGGAAAACCTGAGAAAATAAATATAGAAGTTTCTGCTTTTGTGTGGGACTAATGAATAATTAATGAGCTAGGCATTGAGGCAGTTTGTGATTGGTTATCTTTTCCATGCATTCCATAAATAACATAAATAGCACTCTATCAAACTAAATGCTGTGGTTCACTCTGCTGTGGTGACCCCTGATGAATCAGGGACTAAGCCAAAGGAGAATTAATGAATAATTGAATGACTGAATGAATAAATAAATGAATGAAATACATCCATTCTAACATTCTGTTTACTGATATACCTTGTAGATCAATAATAGAAAACAACACTTACAGATACCTCTTAATCCTGCATGTGATGTTGATTTTTAAACATTTATCTGACAAACTCTTTTTAACTTTCAACTTCAGGAATTGTTAACCCAAACCAAAAATGACACCACAATTTACTCACCCCCTGTGCGTATGATATTTTTTCTTTCAGATGAAATCAGTAGTTTTCATTTTAGTTTTAAAGTAGTTTCATCCTGACTCTTTTATTCTGTGTAATAGTGTTGGATTTAATGATTTTGTTTTTTAAAGCTTCCAAAGGTTCATAAATCTGTAAATACCAATAATAACGCCAGCACTGACAGGATAGTAATGTCTGTCTTATGAAGCAAATGGATGTGTTTTGTAAGAAAAATATTTCATATATTTTTAAATTGTAAACTCAAAACTACTGACTTCTCACAACTGCAGAATGTGTCCTTATCAACTTCTTAGCTGACCTCTAACTCAACACAGTCCACAAAAAGGCTTTTTTTAAGTGCCTTGTTTTTTTTTGCAAGATACTGTTCTACTAGCATGTTATAGCCACACTAAAATTCCTGAGAATTTCTTAAAAATTCAAGCATTTATACATTGCTCTCTAATTTTTATTCCAACTGTTTATCAAGACATCCTCAAAAAGAAAAAAATATGTTTTATTCGATTTTGAAACACCATAGCTCCAATCCTAAATTTCATTTTGCATTAAGGCAGTTTGTGGTTGGTTATCTTTTTTATGCATTCCATAAAAACCATTCTATCAAACTAAATGCTGTGCTTCATTCCGCTTTGGCAACCCCCTGATTAATCAGGGACTAAGCCAAAAAAGAATGAATAAATAAGAAAAAATATATAATACAAAAAAAATATATATATATACAAAAAAGAATAAATAAATAAATAATTGAATGACTGAATGAATGAATTAATTATTAATTAATTATCACTCTCTGTGCATACAGTATGACTTTCTTCTTTCTTCTGTTTTCATTTTAGTTTTAAAGTAGTTTTATATTTCATCCTGACTCTATGCTGTGTGGGTATAATTGTTTTTTCAAAGCTTCCAAAAGTGCATAAATCTGTAAATAATAATAAAACTAATAATAACGCCAGCACTGACACGATATTAATGCCTTTCTTATGAAACAAATTGATGTGTTTCGCAACAAAAATAGTTCACATTTTTAAATTGTAAATTCAAAATCACCCAGCAGGCACAGGAGATCAACATGATGTCTGATTGATGTTGTACGCCAACGCCGGCCCGTGTGACATTGCATTTTGTTTGGAAATGAAAATCGAGTTGACATCAGAATCCAACCTCAGGCTGACATCAATGTCAAACTTCAAACAGACGTTGCATTTGGGTCACTTTCCAACGTAACCTAAAAACAACAAAATAACAACGTCTAATAATGTTACATCTTGACTTTTTGTGGACATTACCACTATGACGTCTATCAGACGTTGGATTTTAGTTTCAATACCTGACAAATAAATGTCAGCATTTGATATCAATATGATTTTAGTAATTTTTCAATACAACCTAAAATCAACCAGATATCAACGTCATTTCATGTCGTTATTGGACATCAAAATAATATTGTCCCTAGATGAGGGTGACCTAAATCTAACCTTATATTAATGACTTCTGGCAGCTGCAGAAAGTGTTCTGAAAAACTTCTTAGCTGACCTCTAACTCAACATAGTCCACTAAAAAAGTCTTTAACATTTTTAAGCTCTTAACATTTCTGAGAATTTCTTAAAAATTCAAGCATTCAAACATTACAACTGTATATCAAAACATCCCAAAAAAGAAATGAAAAAAAAACTTCATTGTATTCATTTTCGACACGCCATTGCTCCAATCCTAAAATTCACTTTTGCTGAAAACACAAATCAGTTACAAATAACATGTATCGGAATGGTCCATCAAGGCCGGTTTTCTCCACAGCGGTTGGAGATTTAATGTGGCCCACTGTGGTGCTCCGGCTTTCACCTTGCACTCGCTCACACCATGCTGAATAGAGATATTGACAGCAAGAGAAGCTGATGACTCCCCTACTGCTCAAGTCAGCAATTACTGTCAGTTCACAGAGGGAAGATGTGTGTTGATTCTGGAAGAAAGAGGCATTTAAGAAGACCCACATGAACAGGCATCCAATTAGCAAACACATTAATTGTGTTGCCAAATTCTGGGCAGGGTATTGAAACTTATCCAACCACAGCTCACAAAGAGGCCTTTGTAATTAGCTGCAGAGACACCTGTAATAAACAGCAAAGAAAATAACATGCCAAATCACTAACCCCAGAGCATATATATATATATGTGTTTATAAACAGTATAGAGAGAGTGCTATACTGCAAAGAAACTAAGTGAATATTGACCCCATTTACACTCTCTCCATTTGCACCGAGTGTCATATTTTCCCTGTCATTTCAGTGTATTCACCAGGTTGATTGCCGTGACCCGTCTCTTGCTGCTAATGTCAGGCGATTAACATTTATCAGTCTCTGGGCAAGACCTTTCTCCTGAGTAGACATTTCAACTGGTCTGCTCTTTCCTTCTCTCATTATTGCGCATTTACACAAAGTGCATGTCAGTGTTGGTTTAGTGTGTGATGGCTGCTGCAATTTAGTATTCAAATAGACAGCTGCAGGTTTGTTTTCCGCTCTAATAGGAGCTTCGCACAACTTCCAGTTCATGCAGCGATCGTGCGGCAGTTTTATGGGAACAGCTGCTGGGATGCTAAAGCACATTTGGTGCTGTTTATTGCCTTAATGCATAATGCTGGTCTTTTTGTGAGTGTTTATTAGTTCGTGCTATTTGAACGTCAGTTTGCTTTAGAATTATGCTCCATCACAGTTTTTTTGCTGAATAATTTTTCACTTGAAAATTGTACTGACCTAAATCCATATAATATGAACAACATACGTCACATTACAGAAGTAAAATCAGCAATACAAACTCAATAGTTCACAATGTTTCAAACATACCAAATTAGTTGAATTTTACAAAACAGAGCATTAACACTTATTTGGGAAAGTTTTTTTTTTTTTTTTTTGAATGGGCAAAATAAAAATAATCATACCTATCTGACTGGAAAGGCAACTTGATGGTAACATCTAATTAGGGAACATTTTTTTAGCTGGAATGATTCTGGCAATCTGTGTGTGAGTGAAATCAAGGAGGAATGTAAACAATAAGCTCAAGCGCACATACAAACTCACAGAACAAAAATGCAGGGTTGCTGTGGCAAACCCTGATTAAAGGGACTAAGCTGAAAAGAAAATGAATAAATGAATATCAGTATGATTGTAAATTTGACCTTCATTTTACATAAGTTAAAATCATTAAATCAAAAAGATTCAAAGGGTATAATGAAGTGACACATAATGTATTAGACACAATACTTTGTGTTGTCTGTTCTACCGCTAATTTATTGATAAAAATACTTACAAAGATCTTAGCAGATAAGATCTGCATCCTTGTAGTGCTTTGTTACTGAATGATTCATTTTTTTTTTTTTTTTTTTTTTTTTTACGAATAGATATTGTATTGTATTGTACTTGGGCAAAAATGTACTCTAATTAAATCACATCCAACACTTTAAAAATGCTGGCTTCCATGCAGATGATTTGTGTAGAAGCAACATGAAAGAGTAAGTTAGCTTATTAGTTTTC